GATAGGAAGGGGAGTAAGCAAGACTCGCACTTTCCTTTCCTATTGAAAGCTACTTTGCGGCGTCCTGTTAGTTAGAGCTCTTGCCTCGCAAGCGAGAGGACCCGGGTTCGAGTTACGTCGATTGGCGGATCGCTTTTCCGGGGTTAACATAAGAATTTGGTCACCCAGTTCATCACTGTTGGTGGGACACTGCTGCGTGCATTTGGCTGCCGCGATTCACCCACAAAATATATAGTCACTCCACTTTACGCTAAATAATAATAAGAGACGTCTCAAAGCAGTTGACCCCTCATAACTGTGAACACCTCTATTAAATCTCTCCTCAACCTTCTCCGCTCCAAGGAGAACAATTCCAGCCTCTCTAGTCTCTCTCCACATAAATGGAAGTCCCTCATCGCTGGTATCAATGCTTCCTTAACTTTGAGACGAACACCCTGCCTTCGACATTCCTGTGTTTCCACCTCTCCCCCCCCCCCTTTCTCGCTCGCTCTCTCGTTCTGTCTCTCAAGTGATCTTTAAAATACCCGTGTTCATTGGTTTGGCATTACCAAGTTGTCTGGTGTGAAATATTTATACAAGGATCATTAAACTGTTCGGTATTCCCTTTGAATTTATTCTCCAAAGCAGGCGAGCTGTGGTTCGGCTGAGTCAGGGATCTTTCTGCTCCCTTTTCCTGCTCAAAACGACTTGCCATTTCAGTTGTGTTGCGTCATTCCCCATACGGACTTTTCCGCTCCTTCCATTCGGTGGGCTCCGGCCTGCTCCGAGCCCCCTTCGACCACACTTTTACCCCAACACCCACCTCCACCACCCCTTCGTTTCCAACAGGGAATTTGGAGTTGAGGTGCAGATCAGCCATGATCTAATCAAACGACGAAATAGGCTCGAGGGGCTGAATGGCCTCCTCCTGTTCCTATGACACCCAGTCAGCTGTTTGTGGGACATCTCTGTGCACAGATTCTTCTACTCAACAACAATAATAATCCTTGCGTTTAATGCGGCGCCCTTATCGTGTCGTTGAGACGTCTCAAAGCGCTTCGCGGGGCCTCCGATGGGCCGGAGGGCCAAGTGGGACTAGCAGGAGGCCGGTGCCAGACGAGCAGAGGCAGCGGGTAGTTAGATCCGTACAAAAAAAGAAATAGACTGTACAGTCTACTCGCAGTGGTAATAACCAATTGGTGAGACAGTTGGAGACCAGCTAATTGCCCTTCTGATCAATTATTTAAATCACAAAGCAATTAAATTGCATTCAATATGATAACATATCCCACTTTGCATAGCTTTTAATTGCATACAACTGCTTACTAATTTTAGTTTTATATTTCAATAAAGCATTGCATTCAAATCTGGGAAGATTATTCCTATTTGCCGGAATGATGCATGCACTTCGAATAATAATAATCCACCCGTCTGCGCTTGTTCTGATGCTTATTAAAGATCCTGCGGTGCTGTTAGAAAAGAGAAGGGAGTTTTTCTTTCTTTCTTTCTCTCCCTCTCTCTCCCTCGCTCTCTCTCTCCCAGTCGGTGTCCTGGCTGACAATCCCCCAGATAAAATCAGTCACTCACTTCACAGCTGTTCGTGGGACATTGCTGTGTGCAAAATCAGGTGCTTACAAATACAGTAGAAACGCCTGAGAACTCGATCCTGGCTTAATATGAATAACACTGTGCCGTGTTTCGCCCACGAAATTCAGGGCCGTTTGTGGGAGCATTGCCGCGCGCCAAAACATACAGTCAATTCGCTCAATTACAGTGCACTCCGTGAAGCGCTTTGAGACGTCTCGAAAAGGGTGATAAGGCGCCGTATCAAATGCAAGGATTATTAATACCAGGCAATAAATGCTTAGAAGGTAAGGAATGCAGATTGAGGTAGAGCTACATTTTGTGGGGAGGTTTCGAATGCCAATTACTTACAGTCTACCAGCACTTTACGCAACTCTGGTAAAATGGTTTTAAACTGTGGACCAGGCAGTTTCTATTTGTTCCTATTTCGAGAGGCTGGACGTGAGATGCCTTGAAATCACACTGAATCGCCTGCTGCTTGCTCATGTCCTTTATTTGACAAATGGCTTTGTAACTGGCGAATACACATGTGTGAACCGAATAATCCTTGCGTCCGATACGGCGCCTTATCACGTCCGTCGAGACGTCTTCAAAGCGCTGCAGGGCGTACGCCGTAAAGTGCAGAGTACTTTTGCGTCTTGCGGGCAAAACGGGGCAACCTGTTTGCGTGCGCGCAGCAGTGGCCCACAAACCCCTTATTGGAGGGGATTGTTGGCCAGGACTGCGTTTACCAACGAAACGCACAGTCACTACACTTTACAGTAAATTGTGAAGCGCCTGTTTCGAGTTATTTTGATGCGTTAGGGCTTCTTGGAGTCCTGTAGCTCAGTGGTTAGAGCACTCGCTTTGCAAGCGAGAGACCTGAGTTCAATTCCAGGCAGAGGGCGAAACCTTGGGCAAGTTTCCTTACTCCACACAGAGCCTAATAATAATCCCTCCAAAACCAAAAACAATAATAAATCGGTCATTTTCAATCTACGACTGTCTGTGGGACATTGCTGTGCGCAATTGGCTGCCGCGTTCGCCCACAAATATACAGTCAATTCACTTTACAGTGTGTTCTGTGAAGCGCTTTGGGACGTCCTCCCGACGTGAAAAGCGCTATATCAAATGCAAGGATTATTATTATTATTATTATTAATACAAATGGTCCAACCAATGCTCTGAGGTGTCCTCCCGACGTGAAAGGCACTGCATCAAATGCAACGATTATTAATATTGTTATTATTAATAATAGCCTTGAATCTTTTAACACCATCACAGTGTACTAGATTGCGGGTGTTTGGAGCAAGTTATTACGTGTTTGTTTTGAAGGGTAGGTTTGTGGCATGTTTACTTAATAGACTGCATTGTGTTGTGTAGCACAGACTGTGTTTCCAACACTGCATGTGGGAAGAAATCTCCCACTTGTTATGAAGCAGGACTGGAACTCTTCACGCGAAAGATGTTCGGGAATAGGAAAGAATCCAACAGAAATATTCTCTCTCACAACTCGCGCGGGCGCAAAAGATTTTTCCTGCGGTGGGAAGTGATTGAGTTCCAGCCTCGCAAGTCTGGCTCGCGAACTCTGCCGCGGATAAGCCGCTGAGCAGTGCGAAGGCAAGTTCTTGCCGTAGCCCTGAGAATAAAAATGACCCTTGCGTTTAAGGCGGCGCCTTATCGCTTCATCGAGGCGTCCCGGAAGGTTTCCTAGACGTCTCAACGAAGCACTGTACAGCGGTTAGAGAGCTCGCCTCACAAGCGCGAGGACCTGGGTTCGATTCCCGGGCGGGTCAGGTCAGGGCGAAACCTTACTCCACACACACGCACACACACACACACACACACGCACACACACACACACACACGCGCGCGAGCATCTCCGTTTACCCAGCAGTGAGCAGGAACCCGGTTGTTAGTCGGTTGGCGGATCGCTTTTCCGGGGGGCAATAATCCCTTCCAATAAAGAAATAACAATAATTTGGTCAGACAAAAAAGGTTTCTTTTAAAATAATTGTTTGGCCACTCGGCCCATGTTTGCGGGGACGCTGCGGCGCGCAATCTTACTGCCGCGTTCCGCCTTCAAAGTATACAGTCAATTCACTTTACAGTATATTTTGCAAAGCACTTTGAGACGTCTCAATGATAGAGCACTATATCAAATGCAACGGTTATTACTATGACTGTTTGTGGGACGTAGCTGCGGGCAAATTGGCTGCTGAGTTTTGCCTACCGATGCACAATGACAAAGCTTCGCAGATAAATCCTGCCACGTCTCTTCAAGGACTCTTTCATTTATTTTTGGGGGCCGATACTCTCATTCTGCTTTCGAGTTGATAATTTGCACGGAAGTACGTGTGACTCTTTTTTTCTCGCGCGTTTCCGAGCTTCGTGTCACTCGCTGCCCAAGTTTGGATCCGAAGCCAGTGCTCCGGCTTTAACCCTCGCCGCGCGATCTCGCCTCTCTGTTGCCGCGGCGTAAATATCGGCCCTCCGCGTGGGCTCGCAGAACGCACAGTCGCTACACCCCCCCACCCCCCCCCCCAACCCACCCTTTGCAGTGAAAAGTACTTTGAGACGTTCGTTCTGACGATTCCCTCCCCAGCTCCGCCACCCGCGAACGACAACTGATTCCGACCCCCGCCGTCCGTTTACCCTCACCCGCTCTGTAACCCCGTAACCCCCTTCACCCCCCCCCCCCCCGTCCTCGCCAGGCTCCACAAGGTCCTCCCGCTCGGCTACCGATCCCTTCGCTCCCTCGCCCTCCCACCTGCTTACTCCCCCGACCCACCCACCCACCCAACCACCCAACCACCCGCTCGCTCGACCGGCTCCACCCCAGGTTGTTGTCGTTGCATCCCAATGGGGGGGGGGGCGAAAAAAATTATTTCACGTCGAACGAGGTAGGAGCTTGGCGCGAGAGAGGCGGGGATGGGGCATGTGAGACGCTGGGGGTGGAGGGGTGGGTGGGGGTGTGTGGGGGTGGTGGGGGGGGGATTGAGTGCCTTTGCAGTAAGGCTGACACTGGTTGGCAGTGTTGGGGCACAGGTGCAACAGCAATTGGCAAAGACCCCCCTCCCCCAAAAAATACCATTAATGCAAATTTAGAGCATCCCCTGCCTCCCCCCTGCACGGAGGGAGGTGCCACGAGCCTTCACTCACATCCCAACCCATTTGCCTGATTGCATTTGACATCATTTGCCGAAAAAAACCCCAAAAAGTGTAAATTTCCCTGAAATTGGGCACTGCTTTTTTTTCTCCCCCTTCGATGAGCCACTGTGTGCGCCGCAACCGAACCTGATGCGGGGCAGCGAGCGCCCGCCCTCCCCCCCCTTTCCCAGCACTCGGCGTCCTATTGGCTGTCCGCTGACGGACCGCGCTCCCATTGGCCGCCGCCGGCGTCAATCACACCGCCCCCTCGGCTCCAGCAGGTTAGGTTGCGCGCTTGCGCGTCTGCGAGGGATGGAGGCGGAGAGAGAGGGATCGGAGTGGCGGCGGCGGCTGCAGCCGCGCACAAAAGGGACGGCCGTGTGAGCACCGTCCGTCGCTTCCTCGCCGGGTCGACGGCCACCGGAAGAGTTAAAGGAGGCGCAGCGCTTGAGCAGGTTTCCAAGGGAGTCCGGCGGCCGGGTCGGAAATAGACCATGAGGAGGCTTCACTCGGGATGGTGCTGGTTATGGCTGCTGCGCTCCACGCTCTGCGCCACTGGTCCAGGGGAGAAAGGTAAGGCACCAGTCAGCAGTCATGTCCCCTGTGGGTGGATGGAAAGGACATGCAGACTGCTGTGTGCAGAGCTGTGTGTACATATATGTGTGTGTGTGTGTGTGTGTGAGTGTGCAAAGTGTCAACCAAAGTCACTGCACCCTGCAAAATACACAGTCACTACACTTTCGGGTACGCCCCGCGAAGGGCTTCGAGACCGGACGTCTCAGCGACCCGGCGTGGCGAGGATTGTCGCCGCCGGTCGGCGTCGCCCGGTCAGTCCGAACCCGGTCGGCATCAGCTCTTTAAACCCTTCCTTCCCCGCCGCCCCCTCCCGCCCCCCCCCGCCGCCCCCCTCCCCCTCCCCGTCGTTGTTGTTGTTATTGTTCTTGATTAATAATTAATAACGTTTAATCCCTCGCATTTGATACGGCGCCTTATCGGGCGGTTGAGACGTCACCGAAAGCCCTTCACGGAGCGCACCGCGAAGTGGAGTGCACCGGGTACTTTGTGGGCGAAAGGCGGCAACCGACTGAGCGATCGGACCCCCCCCCCCCCCCCCCACCCCACCCCCATCCGAGAAACGATCACTTTCAGGACTGTTAGATAAAACGTGGAGAGATCCTTGACCAATTTTCTCGGATTATCAGCCTCCCCGCCCCCTCCCCCCCCCAACCAAAAAAAAAGAAAGAGGGGCTGCATTGGCAAGGAAACCGGGATTGAGTACGTCGAGACCCTTCTTACGTGGTCAGCCGGGCGGGCGTCTGACACGGTCGGAAACCCGTCACCGTGCTTAAGAGTCTCCAAACCGAGCCGTCAGTTTAACCTCTGCATTACCACCTACTCTCTCTCTCTCTCTCTCTCTGTCTGTCTCTCTCTCTCCCTGGAGGGATGCACCCGGTTTACCTGATTCCCAGAGAGCGTCGGCGAGAGCCAAGGCTTGTGGGGGTGGAGGGGGGGGGTTGAGGGGGTGCCCAGAGTGTGCGTTGGGTGTAATCGCCTGGGTCTAACCAGCTAAAACAGCACGGCTTGCCCATTGGTGTCACCCGCCTGGCAAGCTTTCCCGCTGCTTGTCCAGCTCGGACCACCCTGGAACATTGCGGCCCCTCCCGGCTCAGGAACCGGGGATTACAGACCGTCACAAAAGGTGGTGCGGAGGGGTGGGGTCTCGATTCTATCATTCCATCCCCTGGCAGGTCACCTCGGTGCCGGTTCAGCTCCGAGGAGACCCCCACTTACCTGCCCCCTCCCCTGAGTGGCGTTAACTGTAAATTCCAGCTGTAAATGGTGACAAACTGGGTCTGCGTTTAACTATTTAAGCCTCAGTCTCCCTTGGAACTCTCTCCCCCAAGCACGGAGCGCATCGAGCTTCCAATTAAGGTTTCCGGATGATCCCGGCTACTGGTGCAAGCAACAACTTTGACCTGTTTATTGTAGCCTATTGAACTCGCTGTTCGTAGCCTCGGGTTATCTGTGCGTCGTCGTTGAGTGAAATAGCAAGTGTTGTGGCACTGACTGCAGTCAGGTGCTGTCTGTCTTGTCTGTCTGTCTGTCTGTCTGTCTGGCCCGCAGTTCTCTCCGCATTTAAATACAGCAGATATTAATTTCTCTTGTAACAAGCCGTGAGCAGATGGGCAGAGAGAGCGAGAGAGAGAGACTTCAAGGGAAAAGGCGACTTTTGTACAAATTGCTGCCAAAACGGCAATCTGATAACAGTTTCCTCCATGACTGTGTTACTTACCCACACACCCCCCCACCCCACCCACGCGGGGCAACGACAGGGGACAAACCGTAGGGAGAGAGGGAGAGTGTGCCAGAGTTTGGGGGGGCGCAGTGGCTGAAAGCGCGGGCCAGCGATGGCGGAACGGAGGGCACGAGGGGCAAGCAGGAGGCCAGAGCCAGTAGAGCGGAGGCAGCGGGTGGTGGGTTGGGGGCTGAGCGGGTGGGAGAGGTCGGGAGGTGCCAGAGCGTGAAGGGGTTTGAAGGTGAGCGAGAGGAGCTTGTAATCGATAATGGGAATAGGGGAAAATGGGAGCAAGGAATTACAGGGAGGAATTGCAATCGCTGCTTTGTCTACGGACGTGGTGGGTACGTTACAACAATTCATATTATATTCAACGTTTAACAGCTCTGCACTTAAATAACCTGCAACCAAGATGAATGAATGAATGAATTAAGATTCTCAAGGGAGTAGATAATGTAGACCATGTTGCATCTTGGGCTGAACAGTACAAGCAGAGGACACGGCCTGCGATTGAACGGGGGGGGGGGGGAAATTCAGAACAAAACACTACCGTGGAAACACTACTTCGTTGAGCGAGTAGTGAAACGGATGGGAACAGGCGCCCGAGGGAGACAGACAGGGAGACGGTGGAAGAAGGAAATGTCGTTTGTTTCAAGCACAAACCAGATAGATTTCTGCGAGAAAATAATATCTGGCGGGGGGAGACGGTATACAGTCTGGGGACGCGACACGTCAAGCCACTGCCAGGATGGCGGAAGGCAAACTAGATGGACTTTGTTCTCCTCTCGTCAGCAGATTCTTATGTTCCTAACTACCAGATCAGGAGAGCAGGGTGAAAAACAGCAGCCTGCGGTCAAGTGAAATGGCCTTGTTATGCACGTCTCCCTTGTGCGTGTCTCCCTTAACCTCCAGGCATCAAAAATTCCTCTTGATGTCCATCCCAGGAACATTCTTATGTGCAACACCACAGTTGGGAAGGGAGGGATTTCACACACTCTTGTGTTCGTGTGGTGGGATTGCGTGTCAGATAAGTTGTTTGCGGATATCGATCAGTGAATTAGTTTTTCCAATCCCAAATTGTCCCAAAGTCTGGAACGCATGGCCTGAAAGGCTGGTGGAAACAGATTCGATAACAGTTTTCCAAAGGGAATTGGATCGGGACTTGGAAGAGGACATTATTTGAAGGATATGGGGGAAGAGCGGAGGAGGGAGTGGGAATGATTGGGTAGCTCTTCCGAAGATGGGGGCAAGGCGGGAGGGGATAGAGGGAGAGTGTTCCGGGTTTTTCCAAGTCTTTTGAGCTCGTAGTTTAGGCTGCATTGTCAGAGGCGCCATCGTTTGGATGAGACGTGAACCTGAGCTCCCTGCCGTCTGCGCCTGTTCAAGCGGGCGGCGGGAAAAAAATCCGTCTGCCGCTAATTTTTGCAGATTAATTGCCCGTTCACCGCGTGGCTGTTTGTGGGTTTGCTTACAAAAGACAGTCACTCCACCGATTGTGGTTACCGTCCAACACGACGTGATTCCCGTTATTGCAAGCGCTGGAAACGTGCTCGCTCGCTCGCTCGATCACTCGCTCAGCTCGGAGCGCTTCGCGTGATTTGCGCGACGTCAAGTCCTGTATTAGTTAGAGCCCTCGCCTCGCAAGCGAGAGGACCCGGGTTCGATTCCCGGGTCAGGGCGAAACCTTGGACAAGTTTCCTTACTCCACACACACGCGCCTCCGTTTACCCAGCAGTAAGTAGGAACCCGGTTGTTAGTCAATTGGTGGAACGTATCGCTTTTCAGGGGGTAAAAATCCCTTTTAAAAAAAAATAAAAAAATAATGATAATTTGGTCTGTTTGTGGGGAGGTTGTGTGCGCAAACGTTTGCCCACAAATAATACAGAGACTGCACTTTACAGTATACTCTGCGAAGCGCTTTGAGGCGTCTCGAATACGCGATGAGGCGCCGGGTCAAATACAAAGAATTAGTATCCTGCCCTCAACCTTCTGCTTCACCAGAACCTCCGTGTTTTATTCCCCCCCCACCCCAAAAAAAAATCTCTTGCCGGGAACAATAAATCTGTGTTTAATCAACTGGGCCAAAGCCACGAGCAGAGTGCGATGCGGACCTGGCTGGCTCTGGTGTCTGTCTGCACGTCTCAAGGCTGGATGTGTTGGCTGGCGTGTGCTAAAGTGAAGCCAAGACTCATCGTTGTCTGCGGTGGGACCAGTTGAGCGCCATCCACAAAGCAACACAGCGCATTTCACGCAGAACGCTCCCCTGCACTCCTGAACGTGTCTGGTCAATTCTACTGTTATAACCGGGGATTTGGGAGTAATTTCACCTGCAGTATGATCTTCTAAAGGGGACACTCAGAATTCAGCTCTGCCGAACAGTTTGCCAAGTTTTCCCTGTGATGATGATGCTGATAATCATCATCGCAATCCTTGCATTTGGTTTAGAGCCTTATCACATCCTCCCTCCCTCCCTCCCACCTTCCTCCTCTCTCTCACCTTCCCCCTCTCTCTCTCTTTCTCTCTCTCTCCCCCTCGCTCACTCTCTCCCTCCATTGCACACTCCCTCCCTCTCTCGCTCTCTTCCCATCCAGCCCGAAATCCGCTCTGCAGGCGAATCCACAGATCGATTCCTTTGACGGCAGAGCAGAGGTATATTGCTGACCAAATCGCACTCGTGAGTCGGTGTGGATTGAAGGGGTGAATTCTCTCTCTGTATGTATATATATATGTGTATGTATATATAAAATATATATATATAGAAAAGAAATGGAGTCACCCAAGGCAGAGTGCGGAGAAGAGGTTAAGGTGAAAAGATCATTCCTGACGTTGCCTTTGTAGAGACCGTTTGAAGCGTTTAAATATTCAGTGCGAAAAATTAACCCACAGCCACGCAAAAGCAAGACCTGATCAAAATTTAATTGGGATAAAACGCCGAGCCTTCGGGGGCCAGCGTTCAGTCAGTCAGTCAGTCATCCCGAAAACATTCGACTGTAAAAAGTGCAGCACAGCGGAATTCAGCGGAATGATTGTCGGAAACGTTTTATATCCTAGGGCTCGTGAGGTGTCTGCGGTTTGTTGTGATGGGCTCTGTTTGACTGGGCACTGGATAAATCATGTCAGCTCCCTCCGTCACTGTGAAGCGCTCCGAAACGTTACCAAGGGTGCGGCGTGAATGCAAGTTGCTGCCGTAGTTGTGCGAAATTGCGTGCGTTGTTCCGATGTTAACTTAACAGTGACCTCCACGATTGACTTACGGCTCTACTTAAGAGGGGCACAT